AAATACGACACGCGATGCGACTTTCTTCATTACAGGGTTTGACCCACCACCTTCTTCTTTGCTTTGCATGTCTTTGACGTCTACGGATGAGTAAGGCCATCAATATGACATGTCTGTCTGAACGTTTTGGATTTGCCTTCTCAGACTTAGCAAATGCAAGAGCCTCCCAGGAGCTATTGGTCGAGCAGCAGCTATGTTTACAGTATGGATGGTCCAGACATTTGGGATGAAAGCTCAGGAGTTCTCGAGCTTATATTGGGGGTGAAAAAAAATCGTACAACGTTGCAAAGGGGGCAAGACAGGTCTTCCAATAGTCTTAGGGTGGTACAACGGACTCGTACGACAGGATGCATCATCGTACGACATGAAAATACTCGTGCAACACTCGTTCGGGGTCTTACAAGTGCGTGCAAAGTCGCACAACACTCGTACTGCCTGTCGTGCAATTATTTTTCATCGCGTCAGTCGCTCAAAATATTGGAGCAGCACGTTTTTTTTTCCTGACCGAGATGCAACCATTTTGTCGCATCTGGATCGTACAATAAGTGGTACAACGGCTACAACGAGTCGTACAACGGGAAAAATTTCGAGTCGCAAGCCGTTGTAGTCTGTTTGGCACCAATTGTGAAAGGGGCTTTACCCAGTAGCTAAAATAACATGCTGGCTGAAAAGCATTTTCAAAGAAAGAAGTACAGTGTATAATTAAATATATTCATTCTAAAATTTTGTTGAATAAACTATGAAAAAATGGAATCATTTTTGAATCCACGTCTGCACTAGAGCAGTTTGTGATTATTTTCAGAATGCACAGACTGTCCACTCTCAATTGATACAGTGAGCATTCAAACGCAGAGGCTACTTACCTTTAGCATAAGACCACACATGCTGAATATCATTCCTAATAGATTCATGTATTCTGAAGTAGGATCCTCCAACCCACCAGCTTCAGGTGGTTTGTATCTGTACAAGAACAAATGAATCAATATCTTAGAACTTACACTTTATTTCAGTTGCATCTAAATGTTTTAGAATATAAAATAACTGTGTTTACCGTGAATTTCATGAAAGCATGAACAGCTTTTATGGAAATTTATAAAATATTCATCAAACATTCACCCAGGTAGATTCTCACGCTTACGTTCAAAAAAACAAAGACGACGTTTAACATTGGATATACCCGGTAGTGACCATTTGATAATGCCCATTCCCTATGGTTCTTTGTGGGTTTTCTCAAGTTATTCACAGATTCCAAATTGTGATAGGTTTAATTGTTTTCAACTGTTATTTGAAATTTATAAAACATTAGGGGAATATTTTATATAAAACAAATTCATGCCGTGAAATTAACAGTAATTGTGAAATATTTTTTAAATATATACATGTAATAACTAATTATTCAACTTATCAGTAGATTTTTTTTTTTTTTTGACTATACCCAGACAAAATTCCAGTATATGGGTTCATTCGAATCGTCCATTGTACAGTGGTCACTGTTCTACGCAAACATGTAAAATAAAGGTTTTTCGTATAAACATAGACACTACATATATCCTACTAGTAGTACACAGTCTATGGACGCTATGGTATAACCTCATTCTGAAAATCAGGTTTGTGGAGAAAAATATAAGCATACAAGGAATTGAGCTGCACATGTGTTTCATATGTACCATTACCCCCGGGTGATTACTGAACAGTAAATCTGTAACTGTTAAAACAGTACAATTATCTTATTTTCAACTCCGAAGATCCGCCAGTTGCACTCAAGCTGTGAGAATCAC